CTCTCCTCTCTCCCCTCTCTCCCCTCCCCTCTCTCCCCTCTCTCTCCTCTGTCTCCCCTCTCTCCTCTATCTTCCCTCTCTCTCTCTCTTCTCTTCATTCTCCTCTTCACTCTCTCTTCTTTTCTCTTCTCTTTTTCTCTCCTCCTTGGTGCTGCTCTGCAGCCTCCCTCCCTCACCAATAAAGACCTTTCGTACAAAAAAGAAAATAATTGCACTTATACTAAGAGACCAGCATGGTGGTTTACCAGGGGCTGAGTGGTGATGGAAAAGGAAAGCTTAGTCAATGGGTCGATTTTCGGTTATAAAATGACTAAATTCTGGAGAGATCATGAACAGCATGGTGGGCAAAGTTACTGACAAGTATTATATACTCAAAATTTGCAAAGAGAGATCTCAAGTATTCACACAACACACAAAGAAAAACAATCTAGGTAAAGTGCTAACTGCATTGATTATTTTGATTGTGGTAACCATTTCACAATTGTACATATATGCAAACACCACGTTCTACACCTTGAATATCTACCATATTCACCAATCACACCTCAATAAAGCTGGGGGAAATGACAAAGAAAACTCTGGGATTCCCCACTTTAAAATAAAAAACGCTAAATAATAAACAATGAAGACATTCAAGAAATCAACAGGGAAGAATTCACTTACCAGATAAATCCCCAGTCTTCACATGAAGCGAGGGCTTCTCTAAGAACTTTATAAATAGTCGTTCTTCCCAAGACAGGAAGCAATTATGTCTATAGAGTGGTACACAATTCTGATTTCATGAATCGTATAGGCAGCTGCCCTGCAGAGTGAACTAGTCAGCTCTAAAAACTTACAAACCTACAACAGGCCCTTGACATCTGCAAAGTGACAAGTGCCCAAATGGGACAAAATACCGCAATCTAAACGCTGAAACAACAGCAGAGGATATACGCTTCTCTCGTGAAGGGAAGTCAGGTATAACAGGAAGCTTGGATTTGCTTCTTTGGATCCTTTGATGTATTGTGTAACAGAGAGAAGAATCCTGGAAGTGTAGGCACTTACCAGCATCATCCAAGTATCAGTGGCTTTGCAGATATTGCAAACTCTTAACGACACGGTATTTTAGCATCTACAACAAATACAGATGACCACCTCCCTCCATTGACACCTCCTTGAGTTGGCCAGAACATGCACCCCATGTACATTACCCCAAGGCCTAATTCCTTATGTAGACCCCCTCCATGTGTTGACCACTTGGTGACAGTCCCTTGGGTGGTCAACCCACAAAGGTTCTACTGTATTTATAATTTGCCTAAGAGAAACCTTTGATCAGAGATCACCACAGGGATACTCTGCATTAATGTCAGATGAACTCTGACACATAGCCTGGTAATTAGAGTTTGTTAGAATAATTTACTTTCGATCGTCACTGCGATGGGAGAGACATCTGCAGGGGTAGGACGCTACGGCAAGGACACGGGAGCGCGGATTCGTGTGTGTTACCTGTTCTTGCTTCTCCAGCCACTTGTCCACCATTGGGTGACTGGCACTCAGAGACGAGCGAGCATTGTCTCTCTGAAATTGGTTAGACCAGTTACTAGTATCCCGCGGGAGGCTTCTGTAGTTCTCATCTTTCTGTTTGAAAAGAAACAGAAAGGTGTCTTGTAAAAAACCAGACCTCACAAATTAAGGATGCACCTGGTTTTTCAAAAGTAGCAGAAAAATTTAATTCCACGCATTTAAAATACTTTTCCGAGCCTATTAGAAAACCAGTTGAGGGAAGACATTCCACCCAGATGAGACCTCAGAATTACACTCCTGGGCCAAGGACAGGGGGTTCAAAGGACACCAGCAGGAATGGTGGCCACACAAGCACGCACACAGCAAGCAAAAAGGCATACTTTGAACTCCTGACCAGAAAGTGAAAAATACTTCTACACAGGGTGGACACAAAGTGCGTGTTCCATTAAAATAACTTAATGTAGTAAACTGCATACAAACTTTATGAACGCCTTCTATAAGACTTTTACTATTTATCAGTCATGGCGTTTTCCCTTTTCTTCTTATTTTTAATCTCATCGTCACACTGTGATGTATCTTCTATAATTCACCAAACATGCTGAAAACAAGGAAGAATAAACAACTTGCCCCTTCACTGAATCCTCATCGACTCGTGACTTTGCTTGAGAGACTTAAGATTTTCTGGGTTAGCCTATCACCTACTTGACAACCTAGTAGTTAGCATTGACTCGAACACTTAGAAAAAATGGCCCATCAAAATGTTTAATACATGACATACACATAATTGTTCGCTCTGACATGGTTATGACAACTGATGTCTTTACATAAATAAAAATGCATCAATGAGGCCAGAGATAGTGGCTCACCCCTTTAATGCCAGAATTCAGGCAGGAGTCGGCTGCTGGGCCGGGAATTTCAGACCAGCTCTGGAAACATAGTAAGACCTTGTCTCTATAGACAAAAAATAGGTAGCTGCCTGGAGTGCTGTGTGCTTTCAGTCCCCGCTGCTCAGAAGGCTGAGGCAGCAGAAGACAGCTTGAACCCAAGAGGTGAAATTGCAGTGAGCTAGGATGATGCCACTGCACCCTAACCTGGGTGACAGAGCATTGGTCTCAGAAAAAAAAAAAA